GATCAACATAGAATAGAAGGAATAGAGATGGTCGCAGAGTTTGTTCAGAGAGTTTGTTCAAGTGGCCGGCACGCGGCGCCACTTTCAACGTCCAACTCTCGATCACAGCTTGCATCTGAACGAATTCTCGGTAAAAATGCGATTTTCTGACCTGAGCTCTTGTTAAGCACGGAAAATGACTAGGTAGCAGCTGGAGGACCCTAAAGGTCCTTGTTGCTAGAAAGCTGTGGGTCACAAAGGACACTTTGGTGAGGAGTTCTTGGAAAAATTTTACAGCGTTAACGAGTCACATTTTAAAGGAAAAAAAATTTGTACTTGCATTCAAAAGTATGCGAAACTGTTATTATTTAAAACGTCAAACACCCAATGCGATTATCGGATTTATCAGATTCGATTCTAGATATTTTCACGAGATTAGTCACCAGATCAATCTCGCGTTAAAAAGTTGGTGCTCGTTCAGCTAATGCATGCAGCTAAAAATCTCGCAATTATCTACATAAGTGCTGTACTATATTATTGAGATATAATATATAAAATTTATAAATATAATAGAAATTGGCTTATAAATAAAAATTTCTACTAACAAAGAACCAAATGAAACAACAAAAATGATGATGTAAATTATTTGCAATTCAAGAATCAGTGTAAAGAAGATATTGACACACAAGCGATTCTTATGTAGTAGGTGAAATACGATGCATTTCGGAAGTCGAAAAGCGTTTATCGAATGCGCGGGACATGCACAAAGCAAAACTTTTTTGTTTTGCAAGAAGAAAAAAATTACATATTTCCAAAGAAAGTTAACACTTAACGAGGATAAAAATTTCTGGGGAGACTGGAAAATACGCCAACTGATGGCAAGGGTTAAAATTTCAATTGTGTTCCTAAGAATTCTCAACATTGGTCTTGAAAACAGCAACTCGCGTCAAATTAAATATAAGTTGTTTCGAAATAAATAAAAGGCTTCTTGTTCTACAAAATCCGAGATTTTGTAAATCTCTATAATTTACAAAAAAAAGCACGTGTGTTTGACCTGTGTTAACAAAGGTTGACATTTTCATCGAGATCTCTTTTCGAAGAGGTGGCACGCAAGTTGGCCGAGCAGAAGGGTTGTCGTGTTGTGCAGCTCTAATAAGAGATGGCGACACGGTTTGTTTTCCTTTCTTGGTTGGCACGTATTCAAAGAGTGGCCGATTATATATGCTCTCTCTCTCTCTGTCTATATATGCGCATATTACTGTTTCAAAATCATCGGCGTCCCCCGCTAAATCTATGTTTGTAGCTTCTACCACGGGCGGTGGTGGCATGTGCTCGACATTTAACTCCCCTCTCCCCTTGCTCGCTGGTGAAGACTGAAACCAGGTCTGGATCTTAGTACGCATCAGAATCCCCCGACTACGAGAGGTAGTTTTCACGTCGGATCGTATATCCTTCCGTAAATTCCGCGTGGCACGGTCCCTCATCATGACGCAGGTCTCTCAGCACGCGAAATTTCGATGTGAGTTCTGGCAAACACCATGTCTGTCAATTCAATAAAAACCACGTGTACACTCGATTCTTTCTCTTGTATCTGGCCATGACGTTGTTTATCAATGACAATGCCGATTGTGCCTTGAACGCGAAACGAATGACCGTTTTATCGAGGCGCGTCCCTTCCCTTCTGTTTTTACTCGTCCGGAGCTCGTACGTCGTCGTCGTCGGCCATCGTGGTCCATTTTCCTACGCGAATGCATTGTGATACGCAAGAATTTCCTTTGTGTCGTCTATCACTATGGACCACTAAAACTACGTCGTTACTTTTCTTTTCTTTCGTAATGTTTAGTTCGAAGCACACGCTGCTCAGTTATCGACTTGTTGCAATATTCATTTTTACTTATCGTTCTCGCAGTACATATTTATCGCATTCTTTCTCTCTTTGAATCTCACCTATATCTTTCATCTGCAATTAACTAACACGGCGATCGTGGCATGATTCCATTGGCCGTATCTGACTAAATTTTTCGTTAAAAAAAAAAAAAAAAAAAAAAAAAAAATGTTCGTTGGACTTACACCTCGATGCACACGAGCGATTCAGAAAAATGCGCAATGGAATATGCATATTAGTTCGCATGCCTCCCGTACTATTAAACCACACGCGCACTTCTGTTCCCCTTGTATTTTGCTCTTCTACCATTCTGCTTCTCGTTTTTTTCCTCAACGTTCGCGGTGGTAATCGGTCTACGTCTACCCCATTCTCTGAGACACGACATTCCCTCCCTGAGACCGACGTAATGAGCGTTTAATACGAATCATTACCACGACCACGGCGATAATAATCGCGAGTCATGCAGGTAGTCACGAGGATTTTCCCTTCCATTTTGTGGATGCCTACAGGGACCGAGAATCTCACTCGCCGGTTCATTCAGCTGCGAAAGGAAAACGGGAAACTCTTTACCGGTCGCAAATATTCAGCCCAAGCTGGATGGCAGTAAGTATATAAGACGAGAAACTAAACTTGTTCTAAACTGTTCCTCATCTCGTACGGAGGAATTTGGAATATTTCCATCTTTAACTCGAACTTCTTGACAGAAATCAAACGAGGTCTCTCTAATTGTTAAGTGGAAAGATACGTTGATATTTTGTAAAATGATATGATTATATATTTCGTAAAGATGCGACGAGTGTATCACTTTCATTTTTTTAAAATTATTATTAAATACTTTATTGAGAACGTAGATGCACGCATGAGAATACTGGAACGTGTTTTCTCCGTTCACATGTATAAAAATACCGACGACAAAAAAGAGTCTCGTTTGTATCATTTATCAATTACGACATTCCTGCGCCAGTCGACCTCGAGTGTAAAAAAGAAATAATTTTCCATACGTCGATACGAAATCACAATCACAAGTTATGTTTTTATTATCGAGACGGAGAGAGAGGGAGATAATTACACTTTTTATTTACTTTTATTTTGAGGATAAGATAACTTATACCTTGAGAAAAGTGGTTGCAACTGGTGAAATCGAAAAAGAGAGAGGACTATGCCAGAAACGAAATTGTATATACTGAAATGGCGCAGAATGCAGAAATAGCGAATCACTATTATTAACGACTGTGGCGAACATTGGAAGAAAAATGAGAGGGTCGTCTATCGTTGACCGAGCTTAATCGATGTATTATAAATTGTTCCGTTTGAAATGTAGCTTGCACTAAATAACAAAATTATATTAAAACTTGACTCGCTGATGAATCTTGCTATCATTTTGACAACAATAAGACTGACTTGTTTAGGCTATCAAAATATATTGGACGTATATTGCTTTATAATGAGCGGAAGCATTACACTGTGGCACCCTAAACTCAAACGTGTGACAAGAGCGGAAACGGAAATGAACAGCAGTGCTGTACTTCATCCTACGTACCACCGTCATCTTGCCGGAATATTTATCGTTCGTTCTTCTTGAACCGTTTCGTTATCAGCGAAGATGCACACGCCACTCGATAAGAACAAAAACAATAGGCCGATTTTATTCCGTATCGCGAACTTCTCGATAGGCCTTCTCACTGGTTCGTTTCTTGGAACGTAAATTGTCGAGGATACGTAATAACACGCGTTTCATTGTCTAGAAATCATTTCTCGCTATCTGAAGTCACCACTCTCTCGTTGTTTCCCGTTAATTCTTCAGGTACATTTTGCAACAGATGCGCGAGGAATTCCCTACCATAATGGCCAACGTGCATTACAAAGTACTGAAGAAGAAATGGTCGAACCTGTTGCAGCAGTACAAAGTGAGACAAGACAGACACGCCTTTTATTGCCATAACCATTAACCACTATTGCACGCGTTGATCCCCGTGCATGAGTTACATCGCTTCACCCTCGTTTGTGTTCATTTCAGCGTGAAGCATAATAAACTCGTTTCCCTTGCTGGCTAAGATAAGCGACCATAACCGCGGGCGACCGGCCAATCACGACGACTGAATCGCCGGGAATTCAGATAAATTCGACACGATGCTTCGATTTCGCTCGATATCATCGTCTGATGATTTTAATTCGCAAAACACGGAAATGAGAAGGGGGTCCCGAAGCGAAATCCCGAAGTTCGATGTTCTTCTAGAACGATACTTTTAGCATGCAATGCCTCGTGTTTTGACCTGCTACAAAAATAGATAACTGCAAATCATAATCCAATGTATTCTACGAAATTTATTTTAGTTCTAAACTAACGTTGCCTAAACCTGACAAAAATATTAATGCTTTGCATGCCATTCAGACCTGAAATTAAAACAACTCCCTTCGCGCGATTTAGAAAGATTTGAACTCACGAATCAAAAAAAAAAAAAAAAAAAAAAAAAAAAAAAAAAAAAAAAAACGAGAAAAAAAAATCTAGAGAGAAAAGCATCTAGAAATTTTGCTAAAATTTTTGTACTTTGTAACTTCTCTTCTCTTCTGCGTCAGATAAGGAAAAGGGAATTGATGACTGATCGTTCGATTACTTTCCATCCTCAGTGTTTCCAGCCGGAATACTACAGCCGCCCTTTTATCACAGATACTTTCCACGGAGTCTGAATTACGGCGGGATCGGCGTTGTGATCGGCCACGAGATCACCCACGGCTTCGACGATAAAGGTCGATTGTTCGATAAGGATGGCAATCTACATAGATGGTGGAAAGACGAAGCTATTGACGGCTTTCACGAACGTGCTCAGTGCCTTATCGGTAATCGACGAGACATAGACCTGCCTTTCAACTACTTTCCTTCACTTCGCCTTGAACAACTGTTCAATGTTTCAGACCAGTACAGTCGTTACATCGTGAGCGAGGTTGCAATGCAGATCGACGGAATGAATACGCAGGGCGAGAATATCGCGGACAATGGCGGCATTAAACAAGCTTTCCGAGTGAGCTAATTTCATAAACTGCTAAATTCCCCTTTAATGTTTTCCACTCTCTCATGATTTTTAACGTTTCTCACTCGTTTGACCTGGAAAACACGGTAATGTCAATAACGACGAAACACATTTTGCTTCCTGTTCTTTCTTTTAACACGTTCCGTGCCAAGTCGCCAACTTGTCGTTCAGGATATTTTGACTAAAGGTTGATGTATTATCACACAATCTTTCATTACATCAT